TGAGAGAGATACTCATATTACTGTAATTATACAGGGATGCAAAGAAACATATTAATAACACATGAATTATTTGCATTGATGGTGAAAATATTAAAAGATTGCCATTACTGTAATTGCAATTTATGAGAAAACCAAAGATATTTAAGTGACGAAAATACCACAGTTACATTGCCAATGAGCCTTTGTTGTCTGTGCTTTCAAATATTTGGCATTATCTAAATGTCTGATTAAAATTTCATGTACCATAATAAATGTAGTAAATGACGTACCAGACATTCTCATATAAACACCATTACTAAAACATGAATATTCTTTTTTCAATAAATGTTAGAATACTAATCAACAGAAACATACTTTAGGCTAATTATTTCATATCATGACAAACTAAGATTGATATTTAATATTTGATCGGTATTGAAGTGAATTAGTGAAAAGTAAACCCAATGGCGTTGAAGATATTGGTGAATGTGGTTAAAGCGACGGTTACTTATAAATTCCAGCTGTTTTCAAGCAGTTCTGCACCTTTAAAGATTTCTCTCTGACACTGAACGAGCCAACATTCGGTTAATGTCTTTTTACACACAAAATAACAGCCTGATCTTCGATTTCTGCGACTTGGGATTTTCCAACTTGTCGATACAACCACTCATGACTCAACTATTGGTTTAGATAAGTCAAAATGTGAGAGAATAAAGCCCACAAATTTACGTTATATTCCCAAATGTGGAGACTCTTCAATTTAGATAAATAATCTTTTTCTCGCCCGAGTGTCCTTGGGTTCTCAGCAGGCCAAAGTTGATGTTGATCGAAACAAAACTTTCTTCCTAAGGGTAGAAATGAAATTAATCTAAATTGATGGAAAGTATTTCCAAAGTTATGAATATAAAAAACATTTATCTGACTCTTTGGTGGTGATTTCCCCGGCGTTCAACTGCCTGCCATTTTGTTTCAAAGTAGACAAGAAATGTACGGATAACAATCTGTCCTTGTTTGTTGTCGCCAAGTGGATGCCCATGTGTTGTTACCTCTGTTAACAACTTTGGTCAACAACATGCCATTTACATAAGTTTGTTTGTTTCGTTGTTCGTCCCTCTTATGATATTTCCAAGTTTACCACAACAGCAAAATGTGATGCTGAAACATGGTCTGTCCCCCGGGCCTGGAGAGAAGAAATTAAAACCGTATTCGACATAATAAGCGCCCTGGGCGCTCTCAAAATTAGAAATAGGGGGCTCTTATAAGAATATTATTTTGGTGGAAAAAAAACAGTTGAAAGATCGTAAATTTCGTGGTTTATGCTGACAGCCTGAAATGTTTATATACCACAGATATATTTTTCAAGAATTTTATTTCCCATTATTAAGGATGCATATAACACCTGTATTATACACAAATAAATGTCTTGTGAACAAAGATCAATCAGAAAGGGTGCTAATTGGGATTGTTCACTAGCCAGTATTTTAGCAAATTTTGCCGTGGGGGCTTATTAGAGCGGGGCGCTTATTACGTTGAATACGGTATTATGAATCCAACTCAAGTGCAAAATGTCTAGATTGTCTCAAGTCTGCTGAAATACAGCACCATTAGGATTATATTTATTAACTACCTAGATACGGTAGGTATATATTTTGAAGAGATGACTTTATTTCTTGGACTAAATGTCAATCTAACCGAAATGTTGGGCACTTATTGACAGGTGCTTTGAAAATGACCAATTTCTGAAACGAAGCTGTTTCATTTTTGAGCTTTTGAGCATTTTTGTCATTGCTAATTTAGTTTACTTAAAAACAAGGATGTTTGGGGAAAATGAAACAGCCATTATTGATTTTACAGTGCCACAACTGTCTGAGTATTAGTTGTTGTTTTTTGTTTCTTTAAAAATGTGTCTTGTATTGCCTGAAGAAATTCCCTGCGTAATTTGTTTTACATTTGTCTCAAAACGTGCTAACTTCATGAGATTTTTATTAGTGGTGTCATTAAGTTAAGTTTCCAATAGTATGTTTGAAGCCCATTTCTGGGGTCCCCTGCTGTGATATTGCTGGAATATTGCTAAAAGCAGCATAAAAGTATTTCGTATTTCTCGCAGATGAAATTCGAAGTGTTTGCACTGTACACAATGGCCCCTATTCAGAGGTATGAACTTTGTGGACAGTTCTCAGGATAACGGAGATCACGCCTGTGTACAGCCTCCGCATCCTTCACCAAATGAAGCAGAGTTCACATCTTTTCTTATTGCAGAGTATCAGTTACTCTGTGTTAGGTAAATTGCTGAGTTGCTGAATTTGAATATAAAAATTTGTGTAAGAAAATTTGTTTTCAAAAGCATTCGAACAGTAGATAACATTTTTAAACAAAATTATTTTTTGTATGAAAGTGTAAATTATCTTGATGTAAAATTCTATGATGCTTTCTTATCAACTCATTTGAAAAAACAAATGGACAAGTGACCATGTTTGTTTTGGGTATTTTAATTAAATGGGACTATGTTTCTTTTTGGTATGTTAATTCCTGTTTTTTAATTAGAGGCAATTACTTTCTTGTTTTTAGACCATTCTGCCCTAAATAATAAGGTAAAAAAGAACGTGTTCAATTAAAAGTATCTTTTCATCTGCCTTTTCTTTTTCGTTTTGTACAAACTTTATACAAAGGGAAAATTAATGTCAATGATCCCATACAATATATATTTTTTATTTTCTATAATGGTGTGGACAATTCGTAACACAAGAAAATAAGTTTGTCTGGCCTTAAAAAAGATAACAGAATAATATACTGTCTTCCTGCTGAATGCTAATTTAAGTGCTGCGGTGCTATGCCCAAGGTGTTTTAATGGACAGGCTTTTGAGGTGTTTTCATGTTAATAGAATGTAACGGGGCCACAGTAGAGATGACGAAGCGATTGTAATGTAGTCAGTTTGTATGTTTGTGTTGCCTCACAGTGAAATTGATGTGCGGAAGTATTGTTTTCATGACACAGACCACGTTTATTTATGGCCTGGAGAACTGGAGGTGTTTAGCAGAGCTGCAAATTACTGTCAAGGAGAGAAAGGCATGTCAGCTTAACATCATGGATAGGTCATGATATATTGAATGTCTTTTGGGGGTTGTTATATCAAATTTGATCATTTACAGGAGATGCAGTGAGACTTGAGCATGTTTATATCTGTTTGAAATTATTTTGAAATGATTGTTCATGCTGCTGTTGTTTAACAGTGTTGCTATGGATGATGATGATGATGATGATGATGATGAGAGGATGATGATGATGATGATGATGATGATGAGAGGATGATAATGATGTTGATGATAATGATGTTGATGATGATGATGATGATTATGATAATTATAACCATTGATGATTATGGAAACAACACTGGTGGTATGATATCTTTTTTTAAATAGGTTTCAAAATGATGCAGGTTTTCTTAAAGTGATACATTCTTTACATACTGAGTTCTGAGTCAGTCTCTCTGTTCAAACTCAATGTTCTGTCAGAACCACAACTGCATCCTGCATTGTCCGAATCCTGTCAAACAACAAACATTAGATTCCTTCACGAAGCACTCACACATGCATGATATTCATAAGGAAGCAAGATTATTTGCAAACGTTGCCAATTTTGACCAATATATGCCTTTAAGATAACAACTTCCATTAATGATATCTGATGAATGCAATCCCGTGCTTAAGCAGCTATATTATTTGAGAGTGATGCCTTTATAATAGCAGTCCTTATAAAGAGAATCGGGGAAATGGGCTCTCCTTGCATGACACACAATTTCAGCCATGTCTGTGCCATGTCTAACATATCTCTGAGTAACTGTTTGTGTGCTTGGAGACAGTGGGGCTTTAAGGAGGAGTGTTGCAAGATCACTGTTCCTGATAATAGGCAAATGTCGGTGCTGGAAGAGAAATCTGATTAAGGTTTATGCTGATACCCTACTGCTGGGATATAAAAGTCATTTTTCTCTTGTGTTTATCATTGACAACTGGCAGTAGCTGTAATTCAGACCTGGTGTTTGAAGTATTGTTAGGTTTTATTTCTTGTCAAAACTGGCTCCTGGGTTTGTGAAAAGATCAACAGTATCTTAATTTGTTTATTTTTCTGACCATGTGAGGAATACACCCATTTCATTTCCTTTATCAACTGATAATGGGAATGTTTTTGTAGCACCATGGAAAAAAATGTTTTCTTTCTCTGGAGAACTAACATGATTTGGGCTTAATGTAAATGTTTAGAGTAATTTTGTGATTCATATTTTTTATGTCACTGTGTTGATATTGCATGGAATTACTGAGAGAGAGAGAGAGAGAGAGAGAGAGAGAGAGAGAGAGAGAGAGAGAGAGAGAGAGAGAGAGAAACCCAAAAAAAGCAACCAGAGTGAGAACAGACAAAACAGAAAGAGAGAACAAATAGAGAGAGAGAAAGAGAAAGACAGAAAAACACACAGAGAGAAAACAGAGAGTTAGAGAACAGAGAGAGAGAGGGAGAGAAAAATCAACCATAGAGAGAGAAAAAAACAGATAGAGAAAACAGAGAGAGAGAGGGAATATGCACATCACCATTTTAGTGCCATAATCTTGAACGAGATGTTAAATCAGTGTCACCTCACCTCACAACACAACATCTTCACCAATCCTATTATTCAGACTGATATTGCTGTGGCTGGCTGTAGCACTATTATAGGATCATCAGGTCCTGAGTCTCACATGAAGGCTTAGTATACAGGTGATGGTACTGTGCTGAGATCACTATGGATGTCTTAACCATCTGTTTTATTATCACAGTCGTTGATGGGGAGAAATGCTGCAGTGCTAGTTGTGATGACATGACATGTCGATCTCTTGTGAAATACTGATGGACTCCTTTGAATATTACATTCATAGCTGAAACATTCGTAAAAAATTATTCACAGAGTTAATTATTTTTCTCATAAACGTTGTTATATGTGAATGATGTTGATATACGAAATTGTATCTCAATTTTGTCGTTTCTATTCCAGGTTTGCTTTTCCCAGACTGCTGAGCTAGCGAAAGGTTTCACAAAGAATTAAATCAACGAGAAGTACTCAGAATTCCATACTATACAGAATCTGTTGAAATCCCAGAAGAATCTGTGACAGTGTCAAAAAACATACAAATTGAAAATGGCCAGTTTTCTACGACGTCGACGCGGGTTGTTGATTAAGGCCATGTTGATGGTGCCAGTGTTGTGGTTGTTGTCGGTGATGTTGTACAGTGGCCCAGGCAGGTGGGCGTCCGTGGACAGTGAGGATAAAGTACCCAGGGATAGAAGAGATGGATCGGAGGACAAACCATTGCATCCGCCGCCAGATTTTCATCAAAATGAAGTTGAAAAAGATCATATAGAAGTCGAACGATTAGGTCATGATAGGAAAATTCATGAAAGTGATAGGGATTCACTGAAATTTCATGGACACAATGAAGACCCTAAACCCAAGCCTCCAGCGGAAGGTGGTGTTGTTCATATGGTTCAAAGAAAAGTTACACCACATCCATTTAACCCCAGTGATCCTGGTAAGTCTATTTTTACTTCATTGTTTAGTCAGTTCTTTATATCTGCATGGCCATGGAATGCAAGGGTAGAAAAGATAGGTGCACATTACTCCATGATGTCTCCCAATGGGAATTTGGGGCAGGGTAGGAACACAGTATCTCGTGCTTGTCTCCCGATGGGAATTTGGGGCAGGGTAGGAACACAGTATCTCGTGCTTGTCTCCCGATGGGAATTTGGGGCAGGGTAGGAACACAGTACCTCGTGCTTGTCTCCCGATGGGAATTTGGGGCAGGGTAGGAACACAGTATCTCGTGCTTGTCTCCCGATGGGAATTTGGGGCAGGGTAGGAACACAGTACCTCGTGCTTGTCTCCTGATGGGAATTTGGGGCAGGGTAGGAACACAGTATCTCGTGCTTGTCTCCCGATGGGAATTTGGGGCAGCGTAGGAACACAGTATCTCGTGCTTGTCTCCCGATGGGAATTTGGGGCAGCGTAGGAAAACAGTACCTCGTGCTTGTCTCTCAATGGAAATTTGGGGCAGCGTAGGAACACAGTACCTCGTGCTTGTCTCCCGATGGGAATTTAGGGCAGCATAGGAACACAGTATCTCGTGCTTGTCTCCCGATGGGAATTTGGGGCAGGGTAGGAACACAGTACCTCATGCTTGTCTCTCAATGGGAATTTGGGGCAGCATAGGAACACAGTACCTCGTGCTTGTCTCTCAATGGGAATTTGGGGCAGCGTAGGAACACAGTACCTCGTGCTTGTCTCCCGATGGGAATTTGGGGCAGCGTAGGAACACAGTACCTCGTGCTTGTCTCTCAATGGGAATTTGGGGCAGCGTAGGAACACAGTACCTCGTGCTTGTCTCCCGATGGGAATTTGGGGCAGGGTAGGAACACAGTACCTCGTGCTTGTCTCCCAATGGGAATTTGGGGCAGCATAGGAACACAGTATCTCGTGCTTGTCTCCCATGATGACAATTTGCTACAGAAAATCAGAAAAATATATCTATATTCGTTAAACAATTGAAATTAGAATAACAGGCTTATTAATACTTCATTACCTATACTTCTTGAGGATGTCCTTGACCTTTCAGTAATATTCAGTTCTAGAAAGTATATGTCTTGATGTAATGATGGTAATGGAGACTTTTAGAGAGACACTAACATGTTTTTTTCTGAGTGTCTGGTTTGACTCAAGAGGCAGTGAAAAATGTAATTACCTTCCTGGTGTCTGAGAGTTCTCAGAGAATTGAAGGTGATGCTGTCATCAATCAGGACAGCTGAGAGTCCAAGGAGCTCTACAGGGTCATTAAAACACTTCCAGTTCATTACGGTCACTTCATCAAGTCACCTGCAATGTGATAACAATAGGTATTACCCGCCAGACTATCAACAACTGTTAGTGGCTTAGACAAGCTTGTTTGTTCTTGGTGATGAACTGGTGAGGTGAGTTGAAATTGGGTTTAACATCGCGTCAAGGATTATTGCACTTATATAGCGATGTGCATGCAATTGACTATGTGTGTGTGTGGCTGCTTGTACTAGTCTGGACTAATGCCGATTTTATAGCAATACCCCACTGAGATACAATGTCACAGTTTAACATGACTACCCCACTCAAACACAGTATATACTGTCTCCGAGCCAACTGGTCCTAGTTTTAGCCCCTTAATGCCAAGCACCAGGCAGGGTAACAACAAGTACCATCTTTAAATGTCTTCTTGTATGACGCGACCGGAGATTGAATCCTGGACCTTCCGCGCTCCGGGCTGACGCTCTACCCCTAGGTTACGGAGGCGGTAGGTGATGAACTAGAGGTAGAATTGATATGAGGTCTCACTGCAGTCTGCATAGCCTTACTCCAAGGCTGTACTGAAAGATAAGTCCATGGATGTGTAGTAATTCTATCCTCCAAATAGGCAATTCTAAATACCATATTTTCTTGAGTATAGTGCACACTTTTTTTTAAAAAAAAACAGCTGGGTAGAAGGGTATATGCATTATACACGCCATAAGTAGTTTTGATGTTTTTTTCCCCCAAGGCAAATTACCGTGAGCACGTAACACCGGAAATACCATGTCAACAAATCCATACTGAAGTACGCAAATTAATCATGTAATTACACTGTCTGGTTATAAAAAGTGTTCATTGTATATCTGGACTCATGTTTCATTATTTTTTTTCAAAATTCCTTTTTATGTTGTTTTAATTAATTCCGGTGAAATTGTGTGTGAAACGATCGGAAGATCGCACAACTCACCGTTATTAACAGCAACCACAGTCAGATTACCACTATTGACGCCTTGAAATGAACTTTAGTTGACAGAGAATGGATAAATAAATTATAAATGCCATACTTTGACTCGTTAAAAGTCATATTTGTTGAAGTTTGACAGTTCTGTTTCAAAATGTAGTTCTCGCGATCATGTGTGCAGGGAGCCTCGACGGTGACTGGTCAAATTGTTCCACATTTAAACAAATCAATAATATGACTTTTAAGATCCTAGAGCGTGCAAAGATTCTGATTTTCAAGTTAGACAATATACATCATGTTTGACTGTTTAGAGTTTGAATTAATAATTACTGCATCGATGGCAAATTGAGGTTTGCTAGTGTTTACTAGTGTTTACCAGTGTTTACTAGTGTTTACTCATGTTTACTAGTGTTTACTAGTGTTTAAAAACATTTGTGCTCAAAAACTTGGTCCCTGCATATTCCTTCTTTTGTCATCAATTTTGGTTGTGTCAAACCTTGGATAAAACGAAGTATTTACGTGGGTCTCCTCAACTTTGACGGTGTTTGACTGTATAAAGATAAAAACAGGGAATGGTTCTTGGCTTCCTGCATGGCAGTCATTTTGATTGCCAATAAGAAGAGAAACATTTCCATATCATATGAAGACTGTGCTCCATGCTTGACAGATGACATTTTATAAGGAGCTGTTCATAGTGTCACCAGGGGGCGTCTAAGGCGCCGCGATTCGCTGTGCAGAGTTGCGTCCCTTGGGCACGCCAGAAACCTATGATTGTGGGATCGAATCCCGGTTCGCCCCGATTATGTTTCAAGGTTTGTCAGCACCATACCCGTGCTCGTGGGTTTCACCGAAGTGGTAAACGTCGGAGACCTGCATCACTTCAGGCTTTCCTCCCACATTAAGCTGACACGCCGTGATATAGCTGGAATACTGTTAAAAGTGGCGTTAAACCCAACTCACTCACTCACTCATAGTGTAACTAGTAGTCTCCAAACCCTAGGGACCGCCTCCGTGGTCTAGTGGTAGAGCGTCCGCCTGGAGAGGGGAAGGTCCGGCGCTCGGCATTAAGGGGCTAAAACAAGGACTGGTCAGCTTGGAGTCAGTATACTGTGTCTGAGTGGGGTATTCACGTTAAACTGTGGCATGGTATCTCAGTGGGCTAGCACTATAAATCGGCATCGGTCCGGACTAGTACAAGCAGCCACACACACAAACACGTACATGCACGTCGCTATATAAGTGCAATAATCTTGGACGCAACGTTAAACCCCATTTCACCTCACCTCCAAACCCTAGGAAATAAATAAAACAGTGAATCTTACTCAAGTCTGGAATGATTTGGCAAGTCTAGATTGCCTCAGTTCTCAGCACTGTTCTGACCTCCTTTTGGATTTTGCTTGTGACAGTCAAACACTGTTGTGTCGAGGTTGACGTGACCTTCGTAAATTCGTCCAACCTAGCTCCTCACTTTTAGACAAATTTGCCTGAGAAACCTTTTTTATGCAGGCTAACTGAATACTATTCAAAGAGGAGGTAATCTCTCTCACTCACTCACTCACTCACTCACTCACTCACTCACTCACTCACTCACTCACTCACTCACTCACTGGGGCGTAGGGAGCCTAGTGGTTAAAGCATTCACTCGTCACGCTGAAGACCCGGGTTCGATTCCCGACATGGGTACAATGTGTGAAGCCCATTTCTGGGGTCGTGATATTGCTGGAATATTGCTAAAAGCGGCGTAAAACCATACTCACTCACTCACTCACTCCATGAATATGTACAGCCTCAGAAAATATTAATTGTTTGAAGTAAAACTTCCACAGCAATATTCATAAAAATTAAAAATGTTTCCGTGACAACAAGGCCTGGTGTTTTCCATCATCATCAGTTTTTGGGTTGGTTTGTTGCCACATACCAGTGTGAAATATGCCCCTAATGCTGTAATATTTGTCAAATATTTGACGTGATCACTTTCAGAGCCTCTCAGGGGTTAATACACCTGCCTTGGTGTGTGGCTGTGTATTATTGATTCTGTAGCTGCTGAGTAAATATGAGATTCTTGTCACAAGATGGACGCTTGGCACAAAGGCCATGCTTACAACAGTCTCACATAAATCATAGGCTGATTCAGAATGTTTTGGCTCATGGCAAACGTATCTGTAGTCCTACGCCATGACTGTCGACAATATATATATAAAAGCCTAGCCAAGCCAGGTGGTGGGGTAGCCTAATGGTTAAAGTGTTCACTCGTCACGCCGAAGACCCGGGTTCAATTCCCGACATGGGTAAAATATGTGAAGCCCATGTCTGGTGTCCCCTGCCATGATATTGCTGGAATATTGCTAAAAGCTGCGTAAAACCACTATATAACTCACTCACATTCACTAAAAGCCTAGGCAAGTCTAGATGAAACTAAATCAAGTCTAGTTTCCTTTTGAAAACAGCAGAAGAGGAAAGGTTCTTGTGAAAAAAAGCAACAATTATTTTAAAGAAATGTTTTCATATACCAAGTGTTAGGCTAACCTTTCTGTTCTACTAATGAGAACATTTTTCATGATGAAATCTTTGGGTAGATATTTACAGTGCTTAGTAAAGATATGCAAAACTTTTGAACCAATTCAGAATTTTATTCTTCTGTATTGTCATTTTAGATGAATGTTTTGTATTAATTGTTTTTGTCATAAATCAATTTTTTTTACAACATAAGTAGAAATTGTTGGTCATAAGATTAAAATTATTTGTACCAAAATAACAAA